AATATGTAAATATATAAATATATAAATATATATATATATAAATATATGTATGCATGTATGTGCCACTGCCCCGGCTTCACATTCAGATACATGCACATCGTTCATTTGCACTACACGGCGTGTGTCCACTCACCTACAGCCCATCCACACTGCATTGCTCACCATAAAGCACAGACAACATAACATCATTGTACCGCTGAGACATCCTGTGCAGTAGGTAAGCTAAATCCCTAAAACATCCATGCAGAAGCATTCGTAGTTCCATACCCTGCGCGCTGTCATCGTCCAATGAAAAGTAAGGATTGGTGTTGTGGCTGTCTAGGTCAAGGTCCTCTTTCCTGTGACTCATATCCGTGTAGTTACGAGTGTCCGTATCCATAGCTGTGACCACACAGTACCAACCGCGTTTTAAGGGGGCGCCAATGAGACAGGAGCAACGACATGAGGCAAGGTAGGTATTCAGTAAACCCTAAACAGAACAGACCAGCAACAACATAGACAACTGGTGACAACCGCCCGCATACATACGTACATCTGCTGCATGGACACACATATATGGCTCACACAAGGACCGTCGGGTCATGCAGATACTACGCACATACGTGTAGAAGTGCATGGGCATACGTGTGTGAATGAATACACATACGTGTGTAAATGAATACACATACGTGTGCAAGTGCATGCACATACGCGTGTTAATGTTGTACGTGTCAGCGTTCTCCTTGTACATCTGTCTGTCGCCATAACCATCGGCCTGTGGGGGCCGTCTCTGCGCAAAGCGACTGCGCGCATCAGCAAAGGACTCACTGGAATCACCACTACGGACGAAAGAAAAGGGATAGACAGGATGAGATATAATCACCACTACACGCGAAAGAAAAGGTACAGAGACAGGATGAGATATAATCACCACTACACACGAAAGAAAAGGGACAGAGACAGGATGAGATATAATCACCACTACGCACGAAGACAAGGTACAGAGACGGGATGTGATTATAGTTGTGTTGACAGTGCTGATAATATTGATAGTATGGATAGCATTGATAGTTTTGATAGTGTTGATAGCATTGGTAGTATCCATAATAAGGTACACCAAAGACGCTGGATTCGTACCGAATGATACAGTAAGCACATAGACGATCCTTTTTATCTTTAAACACACATGAATCACACTTCCTATCTTTATACACACATGAATCACTCTTTCTATCTCTATACACACATGAATCACTCTTTCTACCTCTATTCCCACACGCTATACCAGATGTCCGTGCACATACTTGTCCTGTGCGTATGGGCCCTGAGAGAACGACTGCTTGTCCCCACTGCCGTATCTGTCTCCTGCGTCGACTTGGCTCTCCGGCGATGTCATGAAGTTGGGATTCTAGACGACAAACATCAATGCATACGTCAACGTCAACGTGAACGTGAACGTGAACGTGAACGTAAACGTAAACCCCAATCACGGACAAAGGCCGGCGATAGAAGATGAGAATATGAAAGATAGCCACAGACATGCACAGTGAACCAAACACTCAAGACTGTGGAATGGGACCAGCCAGTGGGGTTTTACGGTACAGATACAAGCAGAAAGGACAGGGCCAGAGATCCAGAATCGAGATCAGGTGAGCTTAAAGAATGATGAAAAATCATAGAATGCGATTGGGAAGGGCTATGCATTCAAAACTTTCACGTATTGATATTAATGCGATATAACACCACACACACAGAAAAGAGACAATAACGAATGCTGACATAAACACAACCATACATTCATTTCAAGGCTCTCCCGTCGTAATACTTATAACGATATTTGCACGTTGTGGTGGTTGGTGCGTGTGTGTTAATGTAACCACTTTACCTGTAGAGCATTGATGAACTCTTCCCGTGTTGTACCAGCCTGAAGCATGTTAGCGTACTCAGACAAGCGTGAATTCGGAAGTTTCTGAAGAGTAAAGTACAGATACAGTGTGAGGATTTACAACTAGGCCCTTCAGGAGGCCCCCGGCGATCGAGACAATCGCTACCGAGTCTGTTGGGTTAGAGCATATCATCATGACAGTCTTCAGATACAAATATGACAGAAGCAGTAAAATATGTGTTCACATCTCCTTCCCAATTACGACAGTTTTAAGCATTTTTAGTAATACTGTAGACTGATATATATATATACATATACATACATACATACATACATATACATATACATATACATATATATATATATATATATATATATATATATATATATATATATATATATATATATACACACGCACACA